ATGTTTGATCACGTGTGACAGTTACTCATAAACAACTTAATATACCATAGGTAGCCCAACAATCAGTGTTATTAATTCATTTCTGTTCAATAAAATCATACCACTACTTGGTCCCCGACTGCATTGTTTACGCGCGGTCAGATCATGTACGTATCCCTATTGTAATATATGCTATATTATATAGCATATATTACTATAGGGATACGTAGATGATCTGACCGCACGTGAACAATGCAGTCGGGGACTAAGTAGTAGTATGATTTTATTGAACAGATATGAATTAATAACACTGATTGTTGGGCTACCTACGCTTATCCATATAAAACATGGCTGTGAAACCTAAAACCAACTATTATTTTTATTTGGCCTGTTTACTCCCATTACCTTGCTGAACACCTTCTTTATTTATATATTAATTAATATATAGTAATAAAATTACGCCCTTACGAAAAAAGTATATACTAGGTGGCCTATAGGTTCCTATAGAAATTGTTCCAATTCCCTATAGAAGCCTTTAGGCACCTATAGAGCTCTATATAGACTTATAGGCATCCCTCTATAGGTCACCTATAGAAAACGTTCCAATTGCCTATAAAAACCTATAGGTTTCCTGTAGAAACCTATAGGTTGGCCTATAGGCCAGACCTGTAGACTTTTTTTAATTGTTATGGGGTGGTGTTTCCGCAAACAAAAAGTATTATATGTTTTATAAACCTACAAAGAACTTATTACCTTAGATAATAACTGAATGATATGTTTATATAATTATTATAATCAAAGTGTCTATAATAAGTATACAGCCGGCAGACAGCTATTTAGTAAACTGCCGGCTATATAATGAGTAAAAGTAAAATATAAAAACTTTTGTTTGTGCCTTACAGAGCTTGCCATTATAGCGTATAGGTGCTGCATGTGGAAGCGAAACCCAGTCCGTATCGGGATGTATTTTGTTTGACTTTTTATGATATATGTCTTCGTTTCTTGATATATCTTTTTCTTAAAATTTTTTCAACTTTTTTTTTCAAAAGGTTAGGTCAAGGGTTAGGGTTAGGGTTAGAGAAGGGTTTCGGGTTATACAATCTCGTACCAAGAGCAATGCCTGTTTGCGGGCTAGGAAGGCATTGGCTCTGGGGAAATAGACAACCGGAACCCCTAAATTTAGGGGTTCCGGTTGTTTGTCGGCATGCACTATTGATAAACATTAAACCAATCACAGCACAGGAAAAATTCTATTTCCCCAAAGCCAATGCCATCTTAGTCCACAAACAGGCATTGCTCTTGGTACGAGATTGGGGGTTATAGGGATCGGTTTATCTTATAAAAATTCAACTAGTCACTATTTTGCCAGCAGTTTACGAAATAGCCGGCTGCCGGCTGTATAAACACTTCATATAATAATAGCCTACTGGTCAATTAGTACTTTTCGAAACATGACCAGTTGCTGGTCAAATAGTCAATTAAAGTTTCAAGAAAATGGGAAAAAAATGGTATAATAGTGATTGTAGTGAAATCCAATGGATGGGGGGTCCATATTACATAGGATGGCCCATTCTAATTAAGTGCCACACAAACAAGCAATTTTTCCTTGACAAGTTTCTTGTCAAGTTTATTTTCTCGTGTGCACAACAAACCAGGGTTGGTAGGCTTTCGCACATGCTCAAAGCCAAATGACCTTTAAAAAAAGGCCAATTACTCTACTAAATTAGGCCAAATTTCATTTTTTTTAAAAAAGCCAAATCTTATCAATATTTTGACCGACTTACATTGGTCAGGCTGAACAAACAATTTTTTGATCAATTTTTCCAAGATCAGTTTTACTACACATAGCTAAAAATGCACAGGTTGTTGCAAGTTGATATCGACAGGCGTGAACAATGTTGTGCAGCCAACTATGAACAAGTTGTCAGCCATGTTGTTCCAAGTTGTTACAGTTGAACAATGCTGTAACAACATATTGACAATAGAGAGTTTTAGCTTGACGTTTACGGCAAACGTCAAACCGCTAATGAAGTTTTTGATTTTACAACTTTATTGTCACAGCTTTTACACCAGTTTTGAAATATATTAAACAATTATTAAACTTGTGTTCTTAGCAATGATTTAAGAAAGCAAATTAACCACTAGTCACGTATTCACCAAAGCAGTAAATTAAGATTTGGCGTTTGAAGTTTACATTTGGTGTATAAATTTCATGCTTTAACGACTACAACCCTTCGTAGCAGTTCAAGCATGAAATTTATACGCCAAACGTAAACTTCAAAACGCCAAATCTTAATTTACTGCGTTGGTGAATACGTGACTAGTGGTTAATTTGCTTTCTTTAATCATTGCTAAGAACACAAGTTTAATAATATATTTCAAAACTGGTGTAAAAGCTGTTATAATAAAGTTGTAAAATCAAAAACTTTGTTAGCGGTTTGACGTTTGCCGTAAACGTCAAGCTAAAACTCTCTAATACTGTTCATAGTGGGCAGCACAACCTTGTTCACGCCTGTCGATATCAACTTGCAACAAGTTGTTGATTTTCTCAATTTTTACGTGTGTACAAGCCTGCATGTTGCCGACACATCCAAATACTTCATGTACAGTATATCCACCATATACTATATAGGCCTGAAGATCAGTTCTATGATCCACCATATACTATATAGGCCTGAAGATCAGTTTTACTATATAGGCCTGAAGATCAGTTTTAAGATCAGTCCAAGATCAGTTTTCCTACACATAGCTAAAAATGCACAGGTTGTTGCAAGTTGATATCGACAGGCGTGAACAATGTTGTGCGGCCAACTATGAACAAGTTGTCAACCATGTTGTTCCAAGTTGTTACAGTTGAACAATGCTGTAACAACATGTTGACAATACTGTTCATAATGGGCAGCACAACCTTGTTCACGCCTGTCGATATCAACTTGCAACAAGTTGTTGATTTTCTCAATTTTTACGTGTGTATACGAGCCTGCATGTTGCCGACACATCCAAATACTTCATGTACAGTATATCCACCATATACTATATAGGCCTGAAGATGAATCGAATACACATGAACAGTTTTCCTGGTTTTGAACCAGCCAACCAGGCTCCTTGTTAAAGGTGATCTACAGTCCGTATGTAAACAAAGCCTTTGTTTACATTTTGCGTCCAAAATATTGAGCTTTATTCGACAACTATTTATATTTTCAAGCTTCTAGAGTATAATAAATTATCAAGAAACAACAATCAGAAACAACAATCAAGAACCCAAAACATAGTTAAACTGTTTGTATCATAAAAAGTGGGCTCCTTTGTGCACATGTGCAGATCGGACTATAGATCACCTTTAAGGAAATCTTGTCAATTTTTTGTAATATACACACTCGTGAGCAAATAAAACTTGTCAAGGAAAAATTGCTCGTCTGTGCGGGGCTTTACTAGTTAAACCCAGGACATATGAGATATGCCAGCCTTGGTTTTATACCCATTGAGTGCCAGTGCTATTTTCTGTGAATATTTGTCTGGCGCACATTTTATATATAAAATAGGGCGCACATCTATAATAATATAATGTAATGTTTTTAACCAAAATATTTAATACGCGTACTTGATTTTATAGCAGAAACAGCTTCTTGTGAATTAGCAATTTTCGGGTGTCTACCATCGATTGGAAATCCAGGTTCGTAGCTGTAGTAGCAAGGCCTACTAGTGGTTGAAATGCTTCGTCTTCCTTGCCGCCATACGCATCGAAACAAGCCAGAAAATGTCTTCTCCATTTTTAGACGTCCTCAGAATAAGTCAGAATACAATCAAAGGTTACGATTGCAGACAGGATTTTCCTCATATAAAGTATCTGCAAAGTAAAATTCGAATACTGTACACATTTTTGACAAAAGACAACAGGTCGTGCAGCAATTCACGTGACGGAAACCAGTGAGGCCAGTGACGGAAATCCTCACACGGAAATGAATGCAACGTTTTACATAAATATTTTTTCGATCTAACAATAGACGACATAAAGCTGATAAAAGCCATTTTTCATGTGGTTTTTTTTTTCAAACGTCGTCCTATTAAAAATACGTGAAATAGTGTTCTAATGAATCTAGTAGAAATTAAAAATATTCCCTAGCCCGCTTGCAGGCCCAAGGGAGCAGGCTCAAGGGAACTTGACAGTGGGCCTGCAAGCAAGGCCCGGTA